TGTTCTTTGAACCCTCAAGTGGCGATCCCTGAAAGTGACACCTGGTGTGGATACCTTTCGTAGGGTTGGGTCATCTGAGGAACCTTTGTTTTAGAAGGATAAAGAAATTCCATCTTCTAGACAAGCTCTGTACAGCACTCTTGACAAATGGTTGTGTCTGGGCATGAGCCGGATGGGAGGCATGGGAAGTATCCGTGGCCATTATTTACTACCACTCATGCAGCATACATCAGTGCAAGGAGCATAGATATCTTCAGAAGGTAGGAAGGAAGGTGAAGGGTGGGATGTCCAGAGCAAATATATCCCTAGAAGGTAGGAAGGAAGCTGGAGGGTAGGATGTCCAGGGCGAATATATATCTAGGAGGTAGGAAGGAAGCTGAAGGTTAGGATGTCTTGCAGACGAGGGTCGGGCCGTACCACCTGTACGCTTCGATCAGAATGCACCTGTCAGTGTCCCTGCCTTTGTAGTGCTGACAGATATGTTGACCCAATCTCCTGTGTTAATCAGGTGGAACACACCACCCCATTCCCTGTTACTGTTGCAGAACACCAAAAGGGGAAATAGGCAGGATACAGGGTAGGGGGAGGGTGGTTGCTGAAGGTCAATGGGTCACTCCAAGAGTCAAGGTCAAAAAAATGGAATCAATTTTGTTGGAATACAGATGAGATCAAAACAGGGTAATACAAATCCACAAGTTGTTGATAGCGATACTCAAAGTTGTTTCTCATAAACATTAAAGTCTGTAATCTTGTGAATAATTTTCTCCTTGTTTTTAGGTTAAGAGAGATTAAGTTGGTTGTCAGAATAACTTTTTTGTCTTGTTCTTGTACAGAATATTGACTTCATGCCGACCATCTTGTCCCGATTTGACACCATCTTCATAGTTAAAGATGAGCACAGTGAACAGAAGGACATGGTAAAACATATTTTTTATTCATTATGCTCTTCCTGTTATACATGTAATTTCATGATTTTTTATGTTGAATATAGGGAAATGTGTATTCTAATGTGTGTGTATTGATCTTGATTCAGTAATTGATAAGTAATTGAAAAATCTGCTAACTTCTGAAAATGAAATGTCTATCAAGAACTAAGCAGAAAAAGAAAGACACTAGAAGAACTTTTTTAGTGACTGAGATGACACAGAGAAAACAAACTTTATTAACCTTTCTCTACTAACTGATGCTGTAACTTGGTGATGCAACTTCGTCTGTTGTTATTACCATTTTATCTTGATATTCTGGCCCTATACCTAAAAGATATTTGTGGAATTGGCAGCTCAAGTCTCCTAGATAAGATTTATCACTGACCAAATCTTCCTCTCATTCCAAAGCCATTCTTTCGCACTTGTTCCACAAAGCGACTCTTGTTTGTGTCTCCCGCCTAGACGCCGGCCAAACACGTAATGAATGTGCACATGAACGCGCTGGCCTCCACCCAGCCTGCTTCCGAGGGCGAGCTCGATGTCAACACACTCAAGAAGTACATCGGCTACTGTCGCAGGTACACAGTCAGAATAGCACGGTGTTAGCCTGGAATCCATCTTATTCTAATACATGCATTTTGCAAAAAAGGATAAGTAAAAGATGTACAGCAAAAGCGATTGTATATTGAAAAACATGCACATTTATGGTCATCTAATTTTTAACATGTTTAAGAAAGTAACACATCTTTTGGAACACAATATAAATTTTAGATAAACAAAACCTTTTTTTAAACCATTACCACACCCCAATAAAATGCCCTCCCCTGTAAAAACAAGGGTGGGCCGAATGTCAACACACTCAAGAAGTACATGTCGCTATTGTCGGAGGTATGCAGTCAGCATAGCACTGCTGCAAATAATGTCCTAAAACGCAAACTCACCTTGAAAGGATTGCCCCTTTCTGTGTGGAGACTAACTTAAGTGCCCCGTCGTTGTCTCTGCACTGTTGTGAACACACTGGGGTTCCTTAGATGCCCTTACACTAACATCAGCTACTGTCAGATAAGTGGTAGGGCTCGAAACACAACCTGCAGGTGCAGGTTAGTGCGAGTAGAATTGGAATCGTGCAGCTATGTCCGAGTACCTTGTGCTTCCAGTATGTTAAAGATCTACAACAGCAAATAGACAACTTTCAAAAATTGTTTTTGTTGGGCTGGGAAAGGAAAGGAAATGAGTGGTGTAGGTGAGATGCGTCAGATGTGCATGTTAATACCTTGGGCAAGGTTAATGTCATCTGTGCAGGTAAGCATGTTTCTAGCCCTGTGTGGTATACCTGACCTTAGATGTACACAACTGCCTAAGGGGAAGCTATCCTGTAACTCACTACTGCTAGTTGTAAAGACATGATTGCCTCTGAGGATGCTTTCACACCAGCAGGAGAGATATCTCCTGGATAAGGAGAGTGATTGTGGATGTTTTGTCTGGGCCTAACAGAAGAAGATCTGCACTTGAAGTCATTAGGGCTTCTTCTCACAGACACATTTCCCATTGTTTGCAGACTTGGGGGAAATATTTTAAAAGAAGTAGCCAGTAACGACGTAAACATGGCGCACCGCCACATGAGATCAATTTGTAGTTTTTTTCGAAAGCCTCGCTGAAAAATTATACCGTCTCTTAAAGTACTTCAAAAGAATTCTTTTAGAATGCCATCAGCAGTTGAAGGACTATTAGCCAATCAGTCGTAGGTCTTAGTGGTGGAAGGAGTCTCAAAGGGCGTCGGTGGGACATGAACTTGAATCAGGGCACTTGTCGGCAGGCCTGTCTGTTGGCAGGTGGGGTTGGTGTTTCTTTCTACGGCGATGCACACGACTGGGCAGGAGTTTTCAAATAAACAGAGCCGCACTGCCAGGAATGCCACCATCATCCGTCCGCCTGGTGGGAAAGTTCACATCAGGAAGTACACGGATACCGTAATGGTCCTGCGCTCCTCAATGGGAGAAAAGCTTTAAACCGTTGTTGTAAAAGGGTCTTTATTTCACTTGTTTTTGTTTATTGAATGTTAGAGCAAGTGGGTGGCCCCATTCAACTGATGACTTTTTTTAGAAAGGGGCCCAGTCTACAGAAAACGTATAAAACCAACAGTCTTTGATTGAAGTATGCACAAAGAAAGTAAATTGAATTCATAGTAGGTTGTAAACAAAAGCAACAAAAGCACATAACCAAACATGTATTACATGGAAGATAAAAAAAGTCAAATGTTCAAATCAAAGTAGTTGTTCACACCACCATGCTAGAAGAGTTGATATTGCATGTCAAAATTTCCAACTGCATCCACTGCTTTCCCTGCCATCCCCTAGCCATTGGCTACTTTTCTTAGCTTTTTTCAGTTTAATACATCTTGAAACAGCCAAAATCTTTATTGTGGCTGCTGCTTTCTAGCCCTTGTTGGGCCGGCACTCAAGCCAATGCGTTGAGTGTTTGAGGAAATCTCTGACTCATTCAGCAAATTAAATCAAGGAAGCAAGGCTCACATTAGTGGATAATTGACGTGGCTGCTTTCCCCCTCTTAAACTAGGTGTTAAAGCACGGATTGTTGACAGTGATCCCAGCCGAGGATGCTTAAGCCCGAGATCGTCACAGTTTTCCCTTTGGGTTCCTAGAATGTGGAATTGCCTGACCTTGGCCTTGCCTTAAACTTCGTTAAGCCCGGGAGCTTCATCAGCACCCTCGCTGTGCTGGGTACGTCAGTCAGCCCTTGCTTAGTACACATGTAGTGAAGACAGATACTATCTGAATGCAGTGAAGAAAGAGGGTAGTGTGTTATTAGACCTATAAGACAGGGTGCCTTACCAAGTGACACACCTTTGGCAATTACACGTAGTTGTAGTTCAGCAAGTTGAATTTTCTTTTTAAAGTTGCCTCGTCATCACCGTTCTTCTGGTTGAAAGGCCGTGACTTTTCGTTCCTGTTGTGTTGTGGCCAAATGGTGGGGAAGTAAGGCAGACGGTAAGAGAGGGGGCTGTAGACTGTACAAAACCATAGGTGATTGACATCTTGCAGCTAGCTGCCTCCATGGTCGAGGAAAAACTGGCGATAGGCTGCACCTGTCTAGCCTCCTTAGCAGGCTCTGTGACTGGGCCTTTTTTCTCTTATGGCATATTACTTCTATTTGTATTTGACTTGACGAAGTTGGGCTGGCCCAGGAACCAGAGTGCCAATAGAAATGATATGGTGTAAGGAAAAAAGCCCCAATCATAGAGCCTGCATGGAGGTCTGGAGGTGCCTGTGGTCTGGAGAAGCCCCGTAGAAGCTCTACAAGTGAAGACTCATAGTCCTTTCCAACTCTGACACACGGCCATGCTGTTCCCATCGACGAGGGACAGTGGCGAACCGTGTCACCCTCTCTGAAGCAAGAATTTTAATGTTTCGCCCTGCCAGCGGGGTGCCAAGTCGTGCCCGGCACGTTTTCGCCCCGAAAAGCCTGCGGCTGTCACAGGTACCACCAACGGGGAGGCCTTTTGTTTTTCCCCACTGATCTATCAACACCAAGTTTCAAACTCCTGTTAAGTGGCCATGCCGGTGACCCATGCTTTGCCTCCCGTGTTTCATAAACTTGGATGTTGCCCTTCTCGCTTGTTTGGCGCACAAGGAGTCCCAGATGCGGCCTTGCTCCGTGTTGGAAAAAAAAGAAAACGGCTGAGGTTAGCTCCTTGTTGTCCTCAGGGGAATCCCAAGGACCAAAAATATGTGGGTACGATTTCCCCGGGAAACATGGGGACAAAGGGAATGGAGAAAGCCAGACTTGTTTCCACAACCGATTCCATGTCTTCAATACAAACACAGCTTTGTAGTGTTGTAAAGTCGCTGTTTTCTTAATGGGGGGGGGGGGAGATGTGTAATGAATGTGCCAATATGTGCCAGGCTTTCGTAAGTCTCATGTCTTGAATATCATAAAACAAACTTTTAAGGTGATGAAAGAAATTGACAAGCAAAACAATGTCTTAAATTCTTTAACGACCAGAGAAAGTAGATTATAGTGAAGGGTGTTTTCCCATAACAAAGGGCATGTCTAAAATGCATATTATTCTTCTGTATTGATAAAATATGTATAAGTGAACTGCATCCTTGCATTTGTTGACAAGTTGCACGTCTTAACATTAATTTTTGTCCCTTACTTGATGTGTACTCCACCTCGCGATAGGTTAGGTGGTTGACCTCAACTGATAGGTTAGGTGGTTGACCTCTTGGGTTCCGACTGCACAGTTTCCATCTCTGATCTCAGGAAATGTAACAGAGCCTGCAAGACACACCTCTTCCTCTCCACTCTGACATTGTTTTGCCCTTGCTGGTTCCTGGGGTCAGCAAGCACTGAGTAAGATCAAACCTGACTCAAGTCTCGGCACCAAGATTCTTGAAGAAAGGGAACGAATATCCTTCCAAATGAGCATTTGTCAGGATAGGATTGCCTCAAGCGCTGATTTCTAGATCTGGCAAAAGTCTAAAACAACACTGCGCTACCTCCAAGGACTTCATGATCAAAGCACTTCAACTCCAGTGGG